TTACAAAATGATTCATTTTATATTTCTGCGGGGAGTTTCGGCCATTGATTCCGTCGTACCGATTTTGACCCCAACAATCATCTATCGGTCGATGACTCTCAATGTGCATCGGTCGATAGCTTAAACATCGTTTTGCTCATATCTTCATAAAGTCTCCATTTTAGCTCCAAAATGCATGTTTTACACCAGTGAGTACATGGATCTGTAAAAGCTCTAAAAAGACACTAAAAGTATCCTTTTGTTTCCAAAAAAAATCATGGCTGAAAATGGGTAAAATCCATGATATATCACACACGAGAATCCATATAATACATAACTGTTTTTCTTCACCTTATACCTTGCTTTCTCTATTGACTCCAGTAGCATATCATAAACATGAAGACCCAATCGATACTTCCTCTTTTTATCAAAATCCATCACCGATCTTATGTATTCAAGAGGGATGTACGTCTTCTCATCCTTAGCCATTATGAGACCGTAAATAACACAAAGGTAAACTAGCCTGACTATGTCCACACGCGACTAGTTCTTACACTCCTTTAGATGCTTCAGCCTAATTTCCCTAATGCTTACATCTCTTTCTTGCCTAAACACAATGCTCCAAAACCCCTTATCGGATGTCTAAGACTAAAAATCAGTGTCGTTGTCTGCTTCTCATTTGAGACCCATCACAGCGTAGAACTGTTGCATAGAAAACCGTAAAAGGCTTCATAGCAAAGACAAACCATAACTCATGACGCTTGGAAATGTTGAGTTGTTTGCATACGAAGCTGTGAATAACCTTACCCGAGTATCCACACTGATGCTCATTGATAGCCGAATTTGGACCAAAAACAGAACTTTCAAAACATCATCATACTCATCCTTAAGATTCCTTCGCTGTCTGCAGGATTGTAACCCTACAAGTGTTGTTCATCTTTTCAATACGATGGTCAACTCCTGCTTCAGCTATGCGTTTTGGAAGCTCGATTTTTATTCCTGTAGACCGCGAAATCACAACATTACATGTCTCTTCAACCAAAACATAGGAAACCATGTTTCACAAGATGTAATCAATCAGACCCAACAATACCAAACGCAAAACAAACACATAAAGAAATTTGAGCCTTTTTTACATCCCATTAAACTCTCGATTCAAACGAATTATAACTCAAATCGGTTTTTTACGTGGAAGGTATGATATATTGAAATTATTCTATGATTCTCAATCATGAACATAAACAAAACTAAAAAAAAAAGTTTGGGAATCTCAAAACCCTAACCTTCAATTTTAAAAACGATGAAATGTGCTGGAGGAAGAACACAAGGAGTAGAGCTAAAGGTTACAATTGCTGAGGATTAATTCACCGGCAAAGCTGATTCTTGATTCCTCTTTCCGTCGGCGGAGAGAACGAGGTGAATGAGCAAAGAGCTCCGTACGGAGAGGAAAAAGAGAAGATGGAAGAGGAATGAAGATGTCTTGTCGGCGATAACAAGTCCATGCCGGAGAGAAGGTGACTATGGAGAAAGTGCCCGGAGTACGAAATTTTTTTTCCTCTCGATGAAGAATAATATCCACTCTTTTTCTAACTTTTGTATTATTTAAATTATGTAAAGTTGATTTTTTTTATTAATATTATTTATTTTTCTAATTGAAGGGTTAATTTCAGATTAACAGTAAAATATAATTCTAAGTAGACAACATTCTCAAAAACTATTCTAAGGGGACATCAATTCACTGTTTGTGTTCCAAATTAGCAAATTACTGTTCTTTTTAATCTATGATTATATAGACCATATAAAGAGTTAGTTCTATTAAAGATTGAGAGGTTATACCAATCTATTATATTAAAAGAGAAGTCACCATCTCATTTTACGTGTGATTTTTTTTTTAAGTGAATCGTACATTAGTCATAATTTTATATCATCATCATATATAAAATATAGGGAAGTTTACTCAAATAACACTAATCTTTATTTTTATTACTAGACTAACAGTATTTTTTAATTTACAAAACTGTTTTTTGTACCCAAATTGTCCTCCTATCCTTTGTTAACAAAAAAAAAATATTTACCAAAAAACCATTAATATTTTATGGAAAAAAATTATTTTCGAAATTGATAAAAATTATGCCGTTAAAAACCTGCGATACATTATGGCATATTTATTAATTTCTGGCAAATTTATTTATTCCTGCAGATTTACCTTGGCAGACTTAATATTGTTATAGACTTTTATAAAAAAATCTGCCATAAATTACAACATACATATTTAAGTTAGCAGATTTGTTTAAGCTGGCAGACTTTTATAGCAGGTTTTAAGTCCTATGATAGCAGGTTCTTCATATGTGGAATACTTTTTTTCGAATCAGTGATTTTTCTCAAAAGACTTTTTATGTTTTGGCAGATTTTTCTATATACGAGATGGCAAATTTATATATCTTACTTTATCTATGAAAAAGTTTTTGTATAGTATTCTTCATAGCAAACTTTTAGTTGATAGCATACTTTTACGTACAATATGGAAGATCTTTAGGAGTTTTATGTACTGGCAGACTTTTTTTAAAATAAACCAGATTCTGGTTTACTAATTGAAGCGAGTTAGATTAAAATTTCTGGTTAAGCTATGACGAAATCGAGCCAAAAAAGTAAATCATTAACTCCTAGGTTAAGCCGTAACATCTTCTCCAAGACACGTTTTTCTATGATTCAAGCAAAGATGAGCTTCTAGGAGTGATAAAATCAACAGATCATGAATTTCAGAAAGGGGATTTAGGGTTTGTCAGATTTCTAAAATTCAAGTTTACTACTCATTTTTCTAGTATATTTTTATTTTTTTATGAATGTTTATTTTTAAATTAGGGTATTTTGGACTTTAACTCACCCTTTTATTTTTATTTTTTTGTATGTTATTCTAGTCATTACTTAAAACATGTGTGTTATTCTAAGTAATTTCCCTAAAATATATTATACATCCTTGGTTTAATTGTGACTAACCAAAACTCATACATTACATCAATGGAAGCTTTTATGCCCAAACCAAACATTAATCACCAAATTGAAAGACACCTAAGGATCCATGAACGATCATGAATCTTACCCGAAACCTTAATTCCGACGCCGATCGAGGTTACTATCGTTCTTCAACTCTACTCTAGCTATGGAATCAACTCATCTGCTTTGTCCTTCACAGCAATCTTCCCGTAAGTTCTCCATGTACCTGTGTCTGATTCTCCAATTCTCTTAGTGATAGGTATGGGTTCTGAGTTGAATTAATGTTTATGATTAGGGTCAGTTAAAGATCAGAAAGTATTTGCTGCTTGAATTTATCGACAGCGAGTCCATTCGCTCAACGATTCGCACCGAGTGGGCATCGTAACGTACGTCGGAGGCGTGGAAGTGTACTCAGGAACCTGTATTGGCGTTGATTGGTATCCAGAAGGCGATGTTAACCAAAAGTTTATCCTCTACTTTCTCTCCTCGATTGTTCAAAACACATGGTTGTTTTTTGAACTAATGTTATCTCTGTTTTTTTTTCCTGTTGTTAGATGAAATGTATGTTCTGTTTGCGAAGAACAAGCCTGTTTTGATTCAGCTTTTGGGAGGTGATAAGATCAAGGACAATTTAAGTCGGCTGAACTCAGGTGATCTATGATCTTCTCACATGTACTAATTGATCACCAATCGCCAGTTTTTAAGTTTTATGGAGCTTATCATGTTATGTGTGAAACAAGTTTTAGTTCTGTATATTGGTTATGCTTTGTATCAGTGGCTAATACAGAGATTTTGCCAAAAATAACTTAATCACTACATCAAATGGCTAAAGGCAATCCATCTCCACAAGCAGAAGATGATACTTAAGCAGATTTTTAATGTCCCACCAGCGATCAATCATCTCACTAAGTCTCTCGACAACGATCTTGGTCAACTGTTTTACATAAACTAGAACTTTGTATTTCTATGCTTATACATATTACATACTATATAAATTCTATAACTTTTGTATTTCTATGCTTACGTTGACTATGCTTTGATTTAGTCTCTCCTCTACACTACTGTTTTCATATGCTAATACATATTACATACTATATAATGATGTGAACATATACATATATATGAAATTACTCCTCTACTCTACTGTTTTGGGCCATGCTAAAACATATTACATACTATATAATGATGTGAAGATATAAATACATACAAATGAAATTAAATATATATATTTAAATATATCATACATTATATACCACACATTATCAAGTGATTATAACCTTTAAAAAAATATTCTTAACCGAATTATCGAATTTGAACTTGCCAACCATTTTAAAATAAAACTGTTGCAACCATAATATATATATAAAAAGATATTCCGTATTTTACGAAAATTGAAGATATGAGTTATCCAGTTACTTAAACGTTTTAAAAATAATATTCTTAGCAAGATATCAGTATCTAATATATAAATAATTATAACAACTTAAGAATAATATTCTCTAATCATTAATAGATTACTTGCAGAAAAAAATCAACGATATTATCCTAAATACCCTAACAAACCTAGCAATCTATATATATCAACGCCTCACCCATTATTAGAACTATCACCTAAAGAAAAAAAGTTCTAGCTATGGCTATGATCAATGCATTTTCGTATCTGAAAGACCTCAAGCCCTACAAACAGGGCTGGCGAGTCCAGGTTATGTTGGTTCACTCCTGGTGACAGAAAACCAACTATGGAGGTGATACCGTAGAGATGATCTTCGCCGATGAAACCGTAAGTTTTCTTTCATCCGTTTCATGTTCTTCTTTTAACTTTTTAGTTCGTTTTACTGCCCCAAATGTCACGATATGATTTGGCTGCTAAATATTGAACCGTGAGTGATGATATATCGTTTATGTTTATGTATGATTTGGCTGTTAAATATTGAACCGTGAGTGATGATATATCGTTTATGTTTATGTACTTTATGTTGCAAATAAATGTGGCTATGTACTAACTTCTGATACCTCTTTTGAAACAGGGTGTTAAGACACTTTGTTCAGCCAGAAAGACTCTCATAAAACGTACCGAGAGTAAAGTACGGCTTGGTGAATGGCGTATCATAGACACATTTACAGTGTCTCAAGCGAGAGGACAATACCGTCCCACAGACCATACTTACAAGATGTCCATCATTGAAGACACCTCTATTGACCAGAGTACTTTTGAGTGTGATGATGAGTTCCAGAATTTCCCCCCTTTTGAAGATATTGGAAATGGAACTCTGGATACTCACATCCTTATCGGTTAGTAAGTCAATAATACTTTACATGTTAATGTATATTGTACTAATATTAAGAATGTAACTATTTAATAGATGTAATTGGACAAGTTACGAGTCTTTGTGAAATCCAAACTGTTCAAGTTGCTGGCAATGATAAGAAGAAAGTAGAATTTCTCTTACTGGACATCAAGTAAGTTAACGAATATATAGGTTCCTAAATAAAAGCTCGCTATCTATTACAAGAAGAAAGTAGAATTTCTCTTACTGGACATCAAGTAGTTAACGAATATATTGTTACATTCTTAATTCAGGGGTCAAAGCATTGCATGTTGTTTGTGGGGTAAATATGCAGAGCAGCTTGAAGAACATCTCCTAAAAACAAATAACCCTAATATGGTGTGCATGATCCGCTTTGCTAAAATGGGCTTTTTACAGAGGTATTGAAAAATATCCATATAAAATCTGGTCTTTTATCAAGACAACTATATTTATGTGTTTCAGTTATATACTCTTTTAATTGACTTATATATCCCATGCTTATTTTTTGTAGGAGATGTGCAGATCACCAATTCTTTTGATTCATCCCTGATTTGTTTCGATCCTGACTTACAAGAAGGTCTTGCTTTAAAAGAGAGGTTAGATGACCATAATGTATTGTTTCTTTTTTAGGATATGCAAATGTGAGTTTACTTAATAACTCGGTTTTACAGTTATTAGTGTGTCAAATGATGAGTTTACTCTTGCTCTAACTGATCCAAAGAAAGATAAGCGTCTTAGCAAGGATCAAACTGATAATTGGAATGATGTTGGTATTAAATCTATCTCTGAAATCATAATGGCAACACAGGTTTCAGTTTCTAAAACCTCATTCTATATATTATATCGACCAAATTATTACAATATGTGTTTTGTAAATTTTTGACCTTTTTTTTACTCTAGGAAGAGGATTGCAAAATCATCTGCTCAATCGAATCAATTGATACAGATTGGGGCTGGTTCTATTTTGGTCATGTTAGCCGAAACAGGTGTAACAAACGTTGCCTTAACATCAAATCCAGTGCAGTTGGAAATTTGTCTCCAAATGACAAACCATTGTTCCGGTGCACAACTTGTGGTGCAACTACCACCACTGTATCCCCACAGTTAGTTTCTACTTTAATTTTACATCTCTGTATTTTTTAATAAAATTTACGGTGCAGATTTATGCTGATATTCACTTGTTGTGAAACTGATTTCAAATTGCATTTGATTGTCAAGGATGACACAAGTACTTGCAAACTGATGCTTCTTGATTTTGTTGCCAAAGTCATTGTGGGATGTGAGGCTGAATCTATTTGGGATGGTTCCTATGAAGAGGTTATAACAAATTTTATTATCAGAAATATAAATGATATTCTAGATCATTTTATATTCATCTTTTAATATACAGGTTGAAGATCCAGATATTTTGCCTCAAGCTATAACAGATTTGGTTGGAAAATCCTTTTGTTTTGGTCTTGCACATGCCTCTGAAAATGTTACAAATGCATCAGATATCTTTCTTGTTCCACAAGTATGGTCTGGAGATAAGGTTCTCCAAATCGAGTCGACCTCTGAGCCTATTACCCATGTTAGCTTTGCTTCATCTATTATGTCTGGAGGAGAGGTATATTTTGAAACCATTATCTCAACCTCATGTTTGTGATTTTTATCATTATTTGAACCTGTCTTTTTGTCTATGAATAGGTTTCTTTAACAGAAAAAAAAAACTGAAGCAAATTTGTCAAAAGGTTCTTCAACCCCATTTTCAAAGCGTAAGGTAAAGGACCAATTTGACCAGACTTCAACGTCAAAAAAAGTTTGCACCAAGGTGGTGAAGATGGAGAAGATTAAAGATGACTAGCTGAATGTTTAGTATTCTTTCTTGCTTTATTGTTTTTTTGTATATTAATTGCATGTTTTTTGAATAAGGTCTTTTATGAAAATTTTTTTCATAAAAGAACCACTTTGTTTTTTTGAGTTTCATTTAATAAATATATGTTTTCTTATAATGTCTATTTATTTATTTATTTATTTATCTGCACAACTAAAATCTATCATTGAGGCATGGTTTAGTGTCAACGATGAATATGAGAAAGCGTATTATACCCCTAATTAAATCGAAACAACCTGTTTGAATATTAACCAGAAAAATTTATTTGTCAAGTTTACTTTCCTCCAAGTGTAAGAGAAGTTCGCCATTTTTTTGTAAAAGTTTCAAGTGCCAAAATATCTTAATTACGACAATGTATGCATGCTTCTGGACATTAATCTAACAATAATCTATAATCTTCACCTTTGAAGTTTATATATATATATATATATATTTGGAGAATCACGATAAAAAGTACATAATTTTTTTTTTCACTAGATTATAGGACCTAAATAATATGGCAATTAACACAATATACTAATTTATAGGAACTAAATAACTAGAAATCCTTTCCAATGAAAAAAAGTGAGATTCACCCCCTGTTATCTCTACCATCGTGTTTCAAGCACTGATAGTAGCCAATATAATTCTGAGACTGCTACAATTACTCAGGTACATTTTAAAAACTAAACTTATTTCACAGAGTGTTGATATTGTAACTTTACTTATTTCATTTGCCTCCTCTGTTGTTTTAGATTTCAAGCTACTGGACTTGACTGGAAACACCATTTCTGACTGGGAAGTGTGTGATCTGTTCTGGGACGTAAAATCGCCAGCACTTACCACCCTTAATTTGGCTTACAATTAAGTCTCACGTGAAGTGGCTTGTCTGCCGTAGTTGAAAAGGATTCATGTTTTGGTTCTGAAAAAAACTGGTCTAAGCTGGACTCAGGTGATCTATAATTCTTCTCTGATGAACTAATTGATCACCAATGGCAAGTGTTTAACATTTATGGTTCTGAACAATACTGTTCTAAGCTGGACTCATGATAGTTTTATCGATGAGGAAGTTTAGTTCTGTATATTGATACTGATTATCAACAAACAATTTTGCCGCCACAATGAAAAGGAAACTAATGGATTCAGCACAACAAACAGACAGTAACACTAGAAGAAAACAGAACAGTGGGATTTTAGTTCGAGTCGACAGAAATCAGAACAGAACATTAACAACAAGGAGCGATGTCCTTTTGTCTTCTGTTTTTAAGACAGTGTTTCAGGATGTTCTATACATCCCGCCTGGTACCATTCCACCTGGTACCATTCCACCTACTGGCAATAGAGGCAAAAATTGTTCTCCCATATACACCAAGAAACATAAGCAAATGCTTTACAAGTACCGTTCAATATATTTACTTCTAATGACAATGTTTTCCCAGTCCCCTGTTCGTTTTGCTTAACCAACAACTATATATTTTTCCTTCAGTTGGTGTGGACAGTGGGAAAAACCAAGCTTCACACGAAAATTTACAGAGAAGTTGTATCACATCTCTAGCATGTAAGTATACATATCAGTACTTAATATAGTTTCAATCGTATAAACTGAAGGATTGTGTATAATTTTTTTTTCTTATCCATTTAGTTTGCTAGACAAATCAGGCATCAGAAAGAGACCAGGATCTGACTTAGAAGACAACACTATTCAAAAGAGTTTTATGGATCGTCTTCAGGAAGATTTTGATAGTGATGCATTTCACCAGGAAATGAGTGGTGATGAAAGTGAAGAGGATGAGAATGCATTTGCATACGATTCTGACTTTGAAGGTATTTTAAAGTAATTTTACTAAGTATACCAAGTATCTAAGGATGATCATGTTACTGTATGAACATTCTTTTTTGTTTTATCTGAATGTAGGTAGATTAGATGAAAATTTTCAACAAGATCTTGCATGTAGTTCACAAGAAAACACAGATTCAGAATCGGATCCAGAAATTGAATTAGTTGACTTAACTGTCACTAAGAAGGCAGATCACTTACCCAACAAGGACAGAGTTAAATCTCTGGCAAGACTTTTCGAAGAAGCATTTCGTGCAACTGAAAAGCCAACCAAAAACGAATTCCCAAAAGAAGATGGTAATAAATTCCAGCTTCTAAATCTTATATGTAGAACTACCAATTTTTTATACTTTTTTTTTTTAAACTACAGCTTATTCAGATGAAGGGGATGCTACTTACACATGTACTTACTGCAGAGCTATTATGTGGTTTGGTGAACGTTTGAATAGGCGCCGTAAAACAGCCATTCCTAAGTTTGCTCTCTGTTGTATGCAAGGACAAGTACAATTACCATTACTAAAAGAACCACCAGAAGTGCTACGGAATTTGCTGAATGGAGATGATAAATTAAGCAAGCATTTTCAGAGAAGCACAAGAGCTTATAACATGGTGTTCTCATTCACTTCCCTTGGTGGAAAGATTGATAAATCCGTTCGAAAGGGTAAAGGTCCAAACATGTTGGTACTCCAAGGTGAGAATTACCATTTAATTGGTAGTTTACAACCGCCTACTGGAAATGATGCTAAGTTTGGACTGCTTTACATTGTTGACACTGAAAATGAAGCAGAAAATCGAACAAATGCTTTGAGGTAACTTTTGAGCCTCAACTTTTTTGAAACAAGTTTAAATTTGTCTACTGTAAATATAAACTAAACATTTTATGTGTTATTTTTTTCAGCAAAGGGGGGCAAATGAAAGCTTATAAAAAAGGTGATAGACTTAAGAAGGAGATCATCGACCTTCTGATTTAGATGCTGAATGAGACCAACCCTTAAACAGCTAAGGTCAGGAAAAGATCGTTTCACCATCAATCCTAATGACTCTTTTCATATGAGGATAGTAAGTGATATAGCAAAGGATGGAAGAACATATGACACACCAATATCATCAGAAGTTGCTGCACTAATTCTTGGTGATTTTAATCTCGAGATGAATAAAAGAGATATTGTTCTTCAACAAAAATAGGCAAGTTGCTAAGGATCAATCGTGAGCTTTTTTATTTTTTTTTAATAGGATAAAGTTACCTAACTGGTTTTTTTTTGCCAGGAAAGAATATTTTTATTTGTCGATTTTT